ATATATATGTATGTGCATATATATATATATATATATATATAATTATATATATTTATTTACTCATTTATTTACATATGTATGTATGCGAGTACGTATATGTCCGTGCGGGCGAGCGGTGCGAAGGGCATGTGTGCGCTTGTATCTGCCCTTTCTGTCCAGCAGTTCTTTGATCGCATGCACATTCCAGCAGGTGCGTATGTACATGTGTGTATATGTGTACCTATGCCACATTTCTATATCTCTATCTATATCTAAGCTATAGCAATGTGTTTCTATGAGTGTGTATATATATCTATATGTCTGTACTTATTTATTCTATATTTGTATGCACGAGCGTGTATGCATGTGTATGCATGTACGTATGTATACATATATCAATATATATAAAGAAAAAGCATACATACGTACATATCGTGTTTCTGCTTATGTTTATAATCGTAGTTGCATTCTTAACTTTCTTTATGCAAGATGTAACAACTTGGCAAGGGCTCGTCACATGCTCTTGGGGCCGAAGACGGTCTCCCAGCCAAGATGCCGATGGCACGACCCTCTGAGGAGTTTAAGGTAGGGGCCTTAATAATCAGAATAGGGGTTTTGGGGTTATTATACTATCATTATAATAAGGAACCACCAAAATAGTATTGGTAATTATTTAGGCCCCTGTGTCAGGCTTAGCAGGTCCCAGGGCTTTAGGTCTTAGGAGAAGGGCTGCTCCTAGCAGTCGCCATATTCAGCTGGCTTCCGCTTCCACAGTCGCAATCAGCCCTTGGCCCTTCGTAGAAGCACCCAGCTTCAAAGACCCGAGCCCGAACACCCTCATAGTTGGAGTCTCTTCGAATCCTCAAACCCTGACCCCCCTAAAAACCCCATGAAATTGCGATGATTCCAAATCCGTGGTACCCAAAGCCCCGGAGCCTTGGACGAGCAGGCTCTTGCCTCGGCTACCAGGCTGGTCTTTAGGGTTTCAGCACTCACAACTGGGACAAGCCTGGCGAAGTAGGGGTTTTGGGTTTAGGGTTTAAGGTTTAGCAAGCTACATATTGCTTGGCCACTCATTCGCAAAACCTTGCCCGGCCCAACGTATACATGCATGCACGTATGTATGAATGCACGTGCGTTTGTACGCATGTACCCATGTGTGCATCTGCAGATGCATGTATGCATGTAACAGTAGGCACCACACGCAACCTTTCAACACCGGTAATGACGGTGCGTGTCCATCCAAAGCTTAAAGCCTACAGCTCCTTCTGGGATCCCAACTGAGGGCTTGACACTGGAAAAATAAGCAGAGGAGGCAAATGGCGACACCAAGCGTAAATGGACGACATCCCGGATCCCTGCTGCTGAAGCCAGCCATGCGCACGCCCCGAGCTGATCAGGATCCGCGCGTCTGGCATATGGCATATGCCAAAGGCCCAGACAAACGCATAAGCACCAGGATCGTGTATTCGGGGCATAAGAACCCCAGGCAAGGGATCCCACAACAACTTTCAAATCCGGGATCCTTGTGTTTGCGCGGCCGTCTGGGCCCCAGCATGCATCGACACCACCACCACCACTGAAAGGATCATGGGACTTACGAAGTAGGGTTATAATTAAGAAACCTATAACTATATTTACTTATAACCCCAATTAAGAGACATATGACCTTACTTACTAAGTCCCATGATCCTCCAAGCACCAAGCTCTGGCACACAGACTCTGAGGAGGGTGCCCATTCGCGAAGGTGGAAATGGCACTGGGCTCGCGAAGCCTGCAGTGGCTCAGGGAACCGGAGATGCTCTGCACTGCCAAAGGCATCGGGCTCGGGGTTTAGGCGCTCACACTCGGACTGTCCAGACAGGGCGTAGACAAAAGTCTGTTCGATGAGTGACAACTTCAAAGGTCGGAGCTGGCAGACTGGGCCAAAAT